AATTTTTAAGTAGTGTACACTACAGACCTGATAGATATTCAGATCAAGATTGAGTGTTCTGCCAAGTTTTCTATGAGTTTTTATATAAATTCAAATGTGGTGAAAGCTATTTCTATACAGAACGGTTATGTTTATAGTTCAAGTCACAAACTGATCTTAGCTAAAGCACTAGTGAAAACTTAAAGGCAACAGTATCCAATGTTTCTAGGTTTTTAATGGTGGTCTAACTGAGAAAGTACACTATGAAAGTTCTACGGTTTTCACAAATCCAGTTAATGAATTTAAATAATCAAAACTGACGTTTGATCATAAAAGTAACCAATTATTCGTCTACATACTTTATGTAAGTAAACAATTTAGTCTAATACATTTATCCTTTGCATTTTCATCTTTTCACCCGAGTGTTTGTAGAAATCAACTGTTAAGTAACTTGGTAAAATTGAGAGAATTATTTTGTCAACATCCACTGAATAACTACAAAATGTTATTGTAGTGTACAGTTAGTTCTGAGCGCAGTGATGTGATCATGTCTTTAGTAGAAATGAAGTTATCAAGTAGATATGGACAAACTTATATCTAAATGAAAGTTTTACATTAAATGGACATCCTACTGGAATAGTGCAATTGATTAGTGGCGGGTAAAACGTTTACGTTTCTCGAGACAAACGTACTGAAACAGTGCAACTGCCTCTTAAACAATTCATGTTTACAAACAATCAGTTAGCATATCTGTAATCTAATGACCTACCTAGAAGTGTCACTTTCTAAATAATGAAGTAGTATATTTCACTCGAAAGCATTTTTTTTGTAAAAATAGATGCTTACTTCCTTGCTTTATAAAACAAATAAATTTACTATAAATAATGAAAAGATACGTAGTTAATTTCTGAAGTCTTCTGATATCATCATATAAACTATCTTTGTTAATCTATTGGAAAAATAATAAATGTTCGCTTACATAGTCAATATAGTCAATGCTGATGAGACATTATAAAACAGGACGGCCGTTTCGTCCTAGTATGGGCACCTCAGCAGTGAGAATCCATGACCCCACACCCCGCAAGATTCGAACCCAGGACCTATCAGTCTCGCGTGCGAACACTTAACTTTTGGATCACTTAGCCGGTATAGTGTTAATATCTAACTTCAACCAATACATGAAATTGCGCCATCGTACACCATTGTCTTTAGTGAGTTACTATCTCACAACAGACCCAAAACTTTCAGGTTTTCCATGGTGGTCTAGCTTTAATTGACTAATGGATTCAGTTCACTTACTACAATCTCCACAAAACCCCTCTCTGAGTAAGTAAAACACAACGATATAATATATGAGTAGGTAGTTCGATTTTACCAAAAACTTTATATAAAATCCATTTTCATTTGAAACACATATTCACTAGTTTTCTATATCCTAAATATATTCTAGATGATATGGATTAAAGTTTAGGTAGTGCTTAATAATAAGTATCATCATTTGTAAACAATTTTTGTCAAACTAAATCATCAACTATTTTATCTTAATAGTGCTTAAACGTTACCACAGCAACTCAAACAGTAATAAACTAAGCTACATAATACAGGAAATGAATATTAATCATTTAAAACGTTTTAAGAAATTCATGAATATATATTAACCAGTTTATTAACAGATCTAATAAGAAAAAGAATCATTATTCAAGAAACATTGAATTTCCTAATAATAACCATATGCTCTCTGGAGATAAGCCTAATATGGAATTATAGAAATCTAATCCTGAAGGCATGATTGGTAAAGGACAACCAAATAAACAGTTTAACAGTTACAATGAATAAGGATCAATCATCATTACTAAATGGTTAAAATTGTAAGTGTAATCTTTTGGATATCAACTCTGTGCCTTAAATTATCTTCACAAATCCTATATCCTAATAAAATGTTTGTTTTTCTTCAATTTAATAAGGTTTCTTAAAACTATTCCAAGTTATATTCATCTTTTCATGTGACAAATCATTTTCTACTAGAACAAATCAAATTAAGCAAGTATGTTTAAGTGTTCTCTAATGATAAATTATTTTTTTCTCCTGAAAGAAGATTCATTCAACAAATCACCTAAAAAAACTAAACATTATTTTTTCCAAATGATTGAGAAGACTTGTAACTCCAATGGATGATTTTCATGGAGTTTTATTCTTTGAACTGGATGGTTTGATCATAGAGCTTTCATCATTCTTCTGAATAACATCATCAGTACAAATGAACTGAAATTCGTGCTGATGATGTCATTCAGAAGAACGATGAAAGCTACACAATCAAACCAACCAGGTTAGAGAACAAAACTCCATCAAAATTATTTTTTCCAGTTCAAAACTAATCTGGATAAGAAGTACAGTGAAGTACTCAATAAAAAAAATAATAAAAAAATAAGACAAAACAAATTTACTGGCTCATCACAACTCATTTGATTATTTACAATAGGGGGAGAGAAAATTAGAGAAGAAAATTCACATTCATAATCATTACTACCAATCTGTCTAAATAGTAAATTCTTTACCAAATGAAGTAAATTTCTCCTTTTCGCTTTTGTTCCCCATTTAATTTCTTTTTTTTTTAGATTTTTTCTTATTATTTTGAATTATATTCTTCACAGTTGACGGTGAGACTATAATTTATGAGCGACGTTCGAGCGACGCTAGATTGACCTTGGGGGCGTTCAACTAATAGTCTGAACCAAATGAGGGTTATAAACCTGTGTGTGGAATAAGGATTATAATTCACGGTTGATGATTGTTGTTAGGAATTAGATTTAGGGTTTTCACCACGAACTGACATCAGCTATAATGCCAAAACTCAATTTATTCAACTGGATGAATGGATTTCATGCCAAAATCCGAGACCTGTTATCTTATACGTGATTGGTTCATCCATAAATTATAGTCTCGCCCAGTTGACTTATTTTGTTACTTCACACCTTTTCTCACCTTGTTAACTACACTAGTTAAGCTCGAATGTATGTTCACTTTTATTTACGTTAGTGTTATAGTGATGAAGTACATTTAGGTTTATTCGAATAGAAGTCTAAGATATTTATGCTTTTACTGTCTAGTCAGAAAAAAACAAAAAAATAACACAACACAACCAAATTTCTATTAATGATTTATGACAATGTTTACAAGTTATTAAGTTTATTATTATATTTTATTATTATGATTAGAAAATAACAGAAAGCCAAGTTTTTAAGTAGGTGAACAATAAGGAGTTGTAATGATAAGATTTTCGAATAGTAAGAGAAATAAATTCATATTGATACTGTTTATTTGAATCTTCCCATTGATGTTTAGGACTGTAATTGATCAGTCTCTTGTTGGCATATGTGCATACTCTGTGGATTGACTCGATATAGCCTTAAATCACAAGCATTATAAACAAAGATGGATAGTATCTAACTGTGGAATCCAGTTTAGACTCACGTTTTGTTCTATTTGTGACTCGTCAGGTGGATGTATCTGAACCTCAGATTTGATGTTAGCTCTGGCACTCGAACCCAGCATCGTTTACTTCAAACTCCATCGTGTTACCCACTTAACAAGTACATCTAGCTGACAAGTTCCCAATTAGGACGAAAGGCGCGTCTAAACTGGATTCCACTGCTAGCCACTATCCATCTTTACATAGTAAGAGAAATAGTTCAAGCAAATAAAATATAAAAACAATTTACCATATAAGCAAAAGTGAAAACTATCATAATGAAAAAGCATAAATTAATTCAATTTCATATGAATTAATGTGTAGAACAGTTAATTTTATTGATTGATTTGAGTTTATCCCTATTTTAATAATGATTTACTATATTTAGTGAATACAGGTTATATGGTAACAAAAAAAAGAAAAAGAAAATCGATAAATATAACATGTCTGGTTGAAAAATTGATATGAAGTCTTAATATATTCATCGTGTAATAATTGTCTTGTTTTTACATTAGTTTATAATTACAAATGTATCTGTCTAATTATTATTATTTTCTTTGAAAAACCTACATAGTAACTAATCATCAGTAAATCTTAAATAACCTTTATTATATTGAAGGTTATGTTATTTTATCTTAGTAAGAACATGATGTATTGTGAAACATAAATTGGTTTAGTTTATTGAACTAGAAATACTACTATTAAAAAGTGACACAACTGTTCAAAAGTAGTTTGTTTTTGGAATGTTATGTCAACCAGCTAGTAACTGTTATCCTAACAGGATACAAGGAAAAAAACTCACCAAGCATGCTGATAACTCATTATATACTTACTGCTTACATGAGTAAGTAAGTATGCATTTGAAGATTTATCATCATGCTTAATATCAAGCAACATCAAGTTAAGAATCTTTGATAAAAATGTCAAGACAATTTTATTGTATGGAGCTGAAACTTAGAGAACTACTACAAATATCATCAATAAAGTAAAGATATTTATAACCAATTGTCTACGTCCGTTGTCCGGATACCATCAGAAATGATCTACTGTAGCAGTGAACAAATCGACTTCCAGCTGAAGAGGAAATTAGGAGGAGACGCTGAAAGTGGGTAGGACTTATATTGTGGAAATCATAAAACCATTAAAATGGAGGCTCTTACATGAAATCCTGTAGACAAAATGAAAAGAGGAAGACAAGCGAAAACATCGCGTCAGAATTGGAGGCAGATATAAAAGGAATGAATGACAACTGGGAACAACTGGTAGAGAAAGGCCAGGACAGAGTTGATTAGAGAATCCTGGTCGGTAGTCTACAAGTGGGTAACAGGTGTACGTAAGTAAGTAAATATTTATCCAATTGCACCCCATAGGAACCTGTAAAATATGTTGATTGAAATATTGAATAGTTTACTACAAACTTTTGATTTGCACCTGAAGGGCTTGTACCTCATTTCTACAATTCATGAGAATCTATAGTGAAATCAAATCGACAAAATAGCATAATGAAAACGGGTTATATAATTTCTCTTGAAATTATTTTGTATAAACTTACACAATTTAGTTCTGATTGTATCGTTTTAGGAATCAAACATGTTTCAGTATAACTACTGGGATTTTTAAATCCTAATCCATCAGATTTTGGTATTGTTCCAAGTGGAGATGTAAATCCATAATTAATTGTTTGTTCTCCATTCATCATTGGTCTTTCTTCACAGTAATGATTAATCGAACATGGGAATTCAGTTGACATTAATGCTGAACTGCTTTTATCACTATCAGTATGACTAGATCGCATTCTATCCAGTGTTGTATTCAATGCACAAAAATTATAAATCGGTGGTGGACCGAAATTTCCCATCGTATAACCACATTCTGGGTTCCATTTGTATAAACTTTCACCATCTACAGGACATATTGTATTTATAATAGGTGAATGGTACAATTTACCATAATTACTAATTGTACCGCCTGAATTGATATTTTCTTCAACAATTAATTCACCATTCAAATGTAGTGGATAAGAGTTTTTATCATATTTTAACAATTTTCGATTAGCTTGACGTTGTTGTTGACGACTTGATCTTCGTCGGATTGAAATGAATACAATAATAAGGCAAACTGATGTAAGGCACATAATTAACAATAGAATTATAACTAACATAATACCTAAATGACCATTTGTCAATAAATATCCTAGAAAGCCTTTTTCACCAAATTTATCATCAAAAGCTGAATTTAATGATTGATGCGCTTGTAGAAATAAACGTGCATCTGAATCTAAGGGAGGATTTCCATTATCACATACACGTAGATATAATTCATATATTCCACTATCAGTTAATCCAATACCTTTTTGACCAGGACCAGCAATTAATTCACCGGTTTTACTAACTACCACAAAATATGGTGAATTCACTGATGATGTGGTGTAAGAATTTGTAGAGTGAATTTTATTGTTATATGAAACTATATCTTCACTTTGTATATAATCATTCTTAAGAAAGTGAACTCTAATTAGTTGAAATGTTAAATTTGCATTATGTGCATCATCAGGATCTTTAGCCGATAAAATAAGGATTTGTTGTCCTCGATAAATTGGTGTAGTTATATTCATCATTCCTAATTCTGTTACTTTACTTAAACCGATCATATGTGGTCGTTTGAGAATGTTAATTTGTTGAGGTGATGCAAATTCAGAAGCTTGTAAGATTTCTTCCCACTGTGGAATATTATCATTTTCATCTAATACATTAACAATGACAGATGCTGTTGAACTACGTTGAATTGGTGTTCCAAGGTCATGTAATAAGATAACCAATTCGTATTGACTATTTTCTTCTCTGTCAAGTTTCTTTGTAGCGAATATTTTTCCAGTATCACTATTAATCATAAACAATTCATTAGGGATTCGATTATTTTTACTATCACTGGCTGATATCAATTTATAGTGTACTGTTCCATTATTTCCATCATCTTGATCAATCGAAGTGAGTTGACCAACTAAGTCAGAGAAACCAGGACGATTTTCGACTATTTGAAAAGTTTTACTACCGATGAGTTCTGGACTGTTATCATTTTTATCAGTTAGGTGAACAGTAAAATTTGCAACAGCTACATGATTGCCTTGAACTATTTCAGATGAATAGTTGTCAGTGGCATAAACAAGAAATCTAATTTGAGGCATAGTTTCTCTGTCTAATATAGCTCTTGTAGTTATCACACCAGTGTCAGGATCTATGTAAAAATATGATTGCGCTTCACTTGATATATGATATTGTATTTCTGGAGTAGAATCTGCATCACTGGCGTGAACTTGTAATAAAATAGTGTCTATTGGTTGGTTCTCCGGCATAATGTGATTGATAACTCGATTTTCTTGAGTAAACGTTGGTCTGTATTCATTTAAATCCAATATATTTAATAAGATCGTTTGTTCACTTGTTCGACTTGGTTTACCATTATCTTGGCATGTGATAACAATCTTAATGATCCCATCTATCACAGTTTCACGATCAAATGATTTAGTTGTACTTAGACGGTAGATTTCTCGTCCTTTAGCTGAATTAGCGTGTTCAAGTTTAAAATCTTGAGTTTTAGATTTTAGACTACATGATACTATACTATTTTCACCAATGTCATCATCACCAGAAATAATTAAACCAATATCCGTCCCAGCTGGTTGATTTTCACTTATTGATAAATGAGCTTCATGATCACTATAATTAACTTTACTAATATTATTATTATCAACTGATGTCTTATGTAAATTACCCTCTTGTATTGATCGGATTTCAATCCATGGATCATGATCATTAGTATCTTTAACAGTGATACGAACTACTGTTTGACCAATTAATGGTAATATACCACTATCTTGTACTATAATTGGTAAAATAAATACAGTATTTTCTTTAGCATTCAATGATGTTTTTAAATAGATTTCACCAGTATTATTATCAATTCTGAAATGGTCTAATGATGATTGACTTAATGGTCGACCAAATTTATATAATAATTTACTATTTTGATTAGAATCTGCATCCGTTGCATTTAATTTAATGATTGTTGAATTCATTGGAATATTCTCGAAAATTTCAATATCATAAATGGATTGATTAAATATTGGCTTATTATCATTCACATCAGTAATATGTAATTGAAATGGTTGATGAAAACATTTTGGAATAATTTGTCCACCATCACATACAATCAATTCACCAGTATAATTATTCTTCAGTTCTGCATCTAATTCACCTAATATAATAAGATTTAAATGATATGGTGGTTTATAGGATAATGAAAATAATGATGATTGAAAATCATTACCACGTAAAGTATAGGATTGAATAGAATTAATACCTTTATCTGGATCTTTAGCAAGAACTAATGGTATTTCATAACCAATATTAACAGATTCAGAGACATTCACAATATATATAGATTTTTCTGTTATATTTTGATTCGATGTAGAAGTGAATGGAAAATATGGTGTATGATCATTAATATCATGTATAATAATAATAATATTAATCCAATGTATACGTGATATACATACGGTTAAATGAATTTGACATTCATTTGTTGTAATTTCATTGAATGTACTGTCCATAATTTTAGGTGACGACGACGACGATAATGATGATGATGATGCCATCAAATATTGATTATTATTAGTTAATAAGTCATTGAATTCTTCAGGTTGTGGACATAAAGTTTCACGATCAATACGTGATGCAACAAATAATTTCCCATTGTATTCATCAATACGAAATAAATTTTGATTTGTATCATCATATAATTCAAATATACCTAAATGATTTTCATTGTTAATATTCATAAAAAATTTCTTTTCAAAATCTAATTTAATATTACCTATATAGGAACCAATTTCTGATTCTTCATTAATAGAATAATATAATTCTTTGAATTGGGATAAATTAGATAAATGACAATTTATGTTATAAATGAATTGAATATAAATAATTAAATTAAATGGAATATAATACTGATAATGATTTATAAGTAACATGATTTTGTTTTGTAAAAAAACAAAAGACAATGGGTACAATTGTCAGTTCAAACTTTATACAAAATACATGATGATTATTAGATCTTCTCTATACATAGAGAGAGAGAGAGAGACAGAGTTGTAGATTGTCTATATTGATCCAAAATATGTTGATAAAGAGAGTTGATGTATAATTTATAATGTGTTCTATAACTTCTTCTTCATATAGCAATCATAAGAATAGATTTGTTTTACATTCATTTCAATTAGTTATAATAATAATAATCAGTTATTAGAATAGGTAAACATTGAAATAGTATTTGGCAATTAACAACTAACTTATGAATATCAATATAACCTTTTAATATCTATATATGTGTATTGTATAATATAAAGTGAATAAGGAATTAGATTGTTGAAACAGGTAACCGTGGGGATAAAGTTTAAATAACCTATGATATGATTGTATGTATGTAATTTTATCTATGAAACTAACTAAATAACTGACTAAATAAATAAAATTTATATAAAGAAAATAATTTTTTCGGGATTAACCAATCCGATGATGAGTTTAACTTATTTGATTTTTGTTGTAATTATTTTTTATTTTTTTTATTTTTTCATTTCCTCAGTTAGTAGTTGTACCAACACACACTAGGTGGTGGTTAAATGGATAGATGTTGGGAAGATGGATAGATGTTGAGACTAGGTAGACAGATTTAAAATGGATAGATAGATAACTAATATATAGATCGATGTACAGACATAGATATTGTTCTCATTCATATTGTAGGTTGTTTTTTTATGACAAAAAAGTGAGAAAAATCTGTAAATTCCAAAAAAACAATTTCATCTTTAATCTAGTGTAAATAATAATAGTAATGGTAACATTAATAATAATAGTCGTTAGGTGAGAATAAGTGACGAAATAAATATTACGCAGTACTATTTTCTATATATGATGTATGGTAATAGGTAAGCTAAGTGGATAACGCTATGGTGTTTGAAGTGAACGATACTGGGTTCGAGTCCTAGAGTGAATATCAACTCTAAAGTGCAGAAACATTCAGTTGACGAGTCGCAAATAGGACAAAACATGCATCTGAACTGGATTCCACTGCTAGCTACTATCTTTCTTTGCATATGTTATTTGTGAATTTAGGCAATATTGAGTCAACTCGCACAGTATGCACATATGCCAACAAGAGACTGACCAATTGCAATCCTAAACAATAATAGGAAAATACAAACAAACAACACCAAGTAAATTTAACAGATATAACGCTTTCAAATGCTGTGAGGTGAATAATTCTTCTACGAGAATGAAAACAATTGAAAACACTCAACAGATTATAAAATCATTTATTGAGAATAGATCATGAATGCATGAGTTTCTTTTGATTTCATCCTCAAAATTTTTTTTGATCACGATATGTTTAGATCAGTGAACCAATGATCAACAGTTACAGTTTCAGTCAACCAGAGATATCAAATTGTTATCCGATGCTATAAGAGATATCTACCTTATCATAAAAATGGTTACACTCGAAACTAACCACTAGTGACCGTATTATGAAAGCATGAAGCTGATTCACCTTAAGGTTTTTTTTGTCATTATGGACTGTTTATTATTGATGATTCTAGCCCAATAACTACATTTAATCTCATTGCTGCTCAGTCCAATTTGTTTAAAGGTAGAAAATTTACTTTAAAAAATTGTGTTCACTGTGTGGAAGTGATTGTATACAAACGAATTAATTGAACAGTCGGTTGATCAAAAATCGTTGCTTAACTTCATGATCCAAACAGCATAACACCGATGATCGTCTAATGAACAAAGTCTATTAAAAACCAATATTAGTATGAATGTCCCAAAGTGAATTTGTATGGTTTAGACACAGAATGTAGGATCACACATAAGATTGATAATTATCAGGTAAATATTAATTGTACGTATCATACAGAAGGTACAAAACTGTATATTGTCATTACTTACACCATGGAATATAGTATTACAATCTTCCTATTGCGTCGTCATATCTGTTGATTCTTCATATTTCCTCAAAAAAATTAATGCCTAAAATTCCATATATGTATATGATTGAATGGCTTGATTAAGAACTGGTTGAAGAGAGATCGCTTTGTAGAGTTTTGTATATTTAACGAGAGTGTATTAGGTACGTTGAGTGACAAACTACATTTTTTAATATAATTTTCAGCAAATATCAAAGGATCACTTGTAATCTATATACCTAAGTAATATTACTGTTTATTAATTAATTGTTGTTCATGATTTGTATTCAATATGACTGTATTATGCAATGAACATAAATTCATAGAAATATAAAAGAATATTTTTTGAGTTATACAAGTTATACAGCTCACCGTTTATATACCCCAGAGTACAATGCATTCGATTATCATATTGTTCGTTTGTTTTTTTTTAACTCATTTCGTGTGTTATCGATGAATTTGATTATTAAATGCAAATACTTATTGAGTAGTTGATTTTTGATTTAGTCTTGTTCTTCATTGAGTATCATATTCTTATAACATACAACTATACTTTAAGGCTAAACTCTAATCAATCATAAGCTGAATGTTATAAGTACTGTTGAGGAGTCCCACAATAGGACAAATCAGCTATCCAGTGCTTCCAGGTTTTCCATGGTGGTCTAGCTTCAACTGACTCATGATCTCAACTGTTGAATAGTTTTATTATATTTTTGTTGTTCTCATGGATATATATCATATCTCTGTTGTTGTTATTTCTCATAAATGAATCAATTATTCTATATTTTTCAGGTCAAATAGTTAAAAAGGTTAGTTTATAGTCACTACTGTATAGTTTATTCGTTATCATAGTAAACTATACTCATTATTCATTATATTAACAAGATCCAGTCTTATTCAAAATAATAAATAATGAAACAAAACAAATTTTATAATAAGATTGATTAAATATGGAATACATTATTAATCAAGATCATTGAATAGATAGAAAAAAAGTAAAGTTATCTGCCATCTCAATCTATGTGAACATTAATGTTGAAAAAGTAAACAACATTTAAACTGACATTGGATTTATAGAAGAATTATAATGTCTATCTATTGGTCACCTCAAACTAACGTTCATAATAAATGGTTATCATTGTATCAAATTATAAGGATGAACAATCCTTTTTGATAAGTACCAGCCTAAGTTAGCTCCACCTCGAGCCCCTCTTAGGCTACTGCCGGTCCCAAGCCCATAGGAAACTAACTCGCTAAAAAACGCTAACCAAAAAAAAAGTCAGTCTAAATTAAATATGAGACAAAATATTTGGAGTGGTCATTTATTAAATTGAATATCTGTATATTTAATGAATGATTCATTTGTGTGCAGTAAAATCTTTTTGAGCAGTGACAGCTAAGCGAAAACTTTACAGCGTCCTTGTATTATTGAAATAAATCACTCAAACGAATTTATTCATCACTAATTAAAGTTGTCAACCACGTATGACAAGCGAATGTAAAAATAAGAAAAACAAACACACAGATAGGGAATCCTTGTGATGTCGATTGCTATGTCAAGCCCACATATCTTATCCCAGCTTCCGGACAAACAAATTTATTCATTCTCTTTGAGTCACATTTTGGCATTGTCAATTATTCACCTATCAACATTGACTATTTCTATGCAAAAAACAAATGTGTGTACACTTCTCATACTACTCATCATATATCTCTAACTTATTTTTGTTCAACTAGAAATATCAGTTAACGCTTAGTTAAATCGTGTTGGTTTACACGCTTTCTCCGATAAGCGTCATTTCGTTTCATCTCAATCTCTACGCTTATCTTCCTTCACTTCATCTCTCTGATTGTCTGTTCTGATCAACGATTGTGTGAAATATACATATTCGAAATTCATTCTCATATTTGACTTATTTTAATTTCCTTATTCACTAATTCGATTTGAGTGAATAATGATATAGGAGAGTTGGCGGTATGTATATTTCGATGATAATCAATCATTCGGTCATCATACGATCGAACTGGAGTCAGATACACGAGGGCTACAAAATCCTGACCATTATTTGATTGAATAAATTTCCACTGCTAGGCATCATATATCTCTGCTTATAATGCTTGTGATTTACTGGAATATTAAGGCAATCGTCATAACATGGATGTATACCAAAAGTGACTGATCATTTACAGTCCTATGTATCAATAGGAGAATCCAAATACCAGAACATATGAATTAAAATTCACTCCACTGCACAAGGGAGCGACTATCTGAATTCACTAGCTAAGTGGATAAAGTGATGGCTTAGCAAGTTTTAAAGGTTTTGTCCTCAATAGATTAGTCATATGATGAGTGTTGTCATAGACTAAATGAAAATGTTTTATGTCATGTTCTTGTTAAAATTTGAAATAATGGATTAAACAAATTAGGTATTTGCAACAATATGCTAAAATCAATAAAATTTCCAATTCGACAATAGTTTTCCCCAGTAGAAATTAACATCAGTTGAAAAACGTGTACTACATATGGCCATTGTTCTAGTTCCTAATTTATCAACGTGTCTCAAATAAAAAGTCACATACTACTTGAATAAAGGCTTCTTGTTATTGTTACAACAAATTACGTAATTTGACCTTTGAGTGAAAAGAATACAGTTTACATTTTTCAGTTATAGTAAGTTCGTAATTTAGGTCATCGTTGGTAAATTTGAACCTCTAGTTAGATTGCACATTGATTGCAGATTAATCATTACGATCATGGAGAACTCTGGAAACCTCCCGTTTCTCTACTGTTTATGAACTATTGAGAATTGTTTAAATACAACAAAACTTTCAAAATGATTAGATTTTCAAGTGTCAGTTTATCTTGAAGTAATA